ATAGATCATGCAGCCCTCCACCCTGCATCAGGGCTGCCCAAGGAGCATCTCAGCCAATATGCAGCCACTCCACAGCCTACTGGAGAGGATTCTTTCCCCCAACTCTTCTGTATATCTGCCTCAACTCCAGGATCAGGTCCAACCTCGCGATGACAGCAAGAGCAAAATGCTAAAACAGGGATGCTAAACATTGCTATATTTACTACAGCAATGTTCTTTGGATTAATTTAAATAGTCTCTGGCTAACTCTTCATGAATTAGCCGTTTCTAATTTTCTGCCTGGAACAGAATGACCGTCCGCTGGAAAAGTAGCCAAGGCTTCTGCTGTTTCCTTGTTTCATAGTAAAGTGGATTAATGCTTGGGACTTATGAGCTAGCACAACCAAATTACTGCGCTGAAGACACTCATGACTGCAGTGGCTTATTAAACTACTGTGATCCATTTTGTGTTCTTTTATCAGCCTCTTTACTGCCACTGCAGTTTAACCAATATATATTTTAAAAGTCTATTACTTTGCATACATTTTTTTGTTTAATTTCTCGTTTTTTTAGAAGCACATAGGAGCTTATTATGTATATACCATATTTCCATAAGGGAAAAATGGGAAGAGGAGATATCTTATGGGTAAGGTACAAGACTGGGAATCAGGCGACCTGGAGGTTTTATTCCCAGCTCTGCTACAAACTTCCTGTGTGACCTTGGGTATTTCAATTAACCTCTATACAAAATGGGGACCATAAAAGTTACCTACCACTCATGGGTGTTGTAAGGCTAGCTAAATGCTTTGAAGTTTGCAGAGTGTTCTGAGATTTTTGGTAAGCAGATATTATATAAATGCGAAGTGGTCTGGGTATCTTGTCAGTGAATTGTAACCTTTTCGTTAGTTCAAGGGTTTATAATTTTTTTGCATTTTTTTATTTATACTATAAAACATTTGGTTATTTATATTATCCAAAAGGACTGAGGAGGAATTGGTGGGAACAGGCTGTGAAAATAGAAAAAGGGAAGTGGTTAAAAGGAGAATGAAATGGAGGGAGATAGAAGAAGAAAGAGGAAAGAAGTGAGACAAACACAAAGGATGAGGAAAGAAAGACTGGGTAAGAGGGGTTGAAAAGATGATGGAATTTATCATTAGGAATTTATCAAGTCACAAAATTATCAAGTCACAAAATTTATCAAGCATGTCTGATGAGCTGAGCCGGACTCTCCAGTACCAATGGGGAAGACAGGGTCCGCAGAGGCACTGATGTAATCCTCCTCCCTGCACTTTTAGCTACTTTGAGAAAGGAAACACTAGGATAGTCTTAGCGTTCCCTTTGCAAGCTTTTTGTGGCTGTTGAACCTGCTTCTACCATGTAGGTAGGGGGAGGGGAAGAATCCTAGCCTCAATAAAAAATGCAGATACTTAGCAATACTTGGCTCGTGATTGTTAATCATTATTTATCACTCTTACTATTAACCTATTTACACTTTTTCCAAAGGTCAAGGACAATGACACCAAGAAGTAGCAATTGGAAAACTGATCAAAGGAAATACTTTTTACACAATTTATAATTAACCTAATTAATTGCCACAAATTATCATTGAAACCATGAGGATCAGACATGTGTGGGGATAATGGCAACATCCACAGTAACTTTACATTGGATAAGAAGTATGAGTGATATAAACACTGATACTTCAGGGCATAAGCCAACCACTTACTACCTGGAGTTATCAAGAAGCTTTTCCTGTGGGTGGGTTTTTCCGTTATTGTCCATTGTAGGGATTTTTGCATCCTCCTCTAAAGCACGTAGTATTGGTGACTCTGAGATAGGATACTGGACAGCCTTATCTTCTACTAACTATGTTGGGTTCTGACACCATGCCTCTCATTGTGGAGTCTGAATACTCATAGCACATAGCACTTACTTCTTGTCTAGGGCCACTGCTGTGATCTGGAATGGCCAATCTCTATATCCCAGTGTTATTTTCATTATTTATTATTGATATTCTTATTTGAGGAAAAAGTAAAAGTGTTTTTTCTTCTCTTTATTTCTAAGTTCCTTCTTCACACATTATAAATAAAATTTCAGCAGACGTGTGTATTTCAATCCTACATCTTCTAAGATGGATATAACTTTTTGTATTTATTGCTGTTGGACAAGGTTTATCTCACTTTTGTTTGCTGTCACAAAAAGATGATGCTTTCTGTTTGGGAGATTTACCAGAGATGCAGCAGTGGGTAACTGTCTGAATGAATCACGAACCCATGTGAAAAAGAAATACAGAAAACAACACTGCTGTTCTACTGAGAAATACAGATATCCTGTTAAGGTAGTTTATAAGGTTAATTATGAGTAAAAAGTCATTACATGCACTTAGTTTCAATATTTAGAAGGAAATCACCCATAAAAAATTAAAAACACTTTTGTTCAAGCTACCTTATCCAAGCTACAGTTGAACAATATTAACCTTTCTCATTAATAACTGGAAGACCCACTGAAAACTACTGAATGTTGCAGATCAGTTAAGAATATTTTACTAGAGAGCTTGGCATCCTGTTGGTTGTAACCACTGCCTGCCTGGAACAGTTCTGAATTATCTTCTTGAACGCTGTTGGTTGGACACACTCATGTTCTCTAATTGAAATGCTCATTATCTAAAAACACAATTCTACTAGGTGCTGTGTGTGCATAATCCCCACTGACTTCAATGCAGTTGAAGGGGCTCGTCACTTGTTAGAACGTGCAAAGCAGTTCACAGGATCAGGCCCTTAGGATGAAATTTGCAGAGAGCTATCCAAAAGTCTATGCATCATATAAGTCCTCAAAACTGGGCCTGAGAGATTTAAGAGGGTCATAGGCTTTCTGCTGGCTCTCTGCATGGGGCTGAATTTCACCCTCAGTGAATAAACACAATAAAATGCAAAGATATTGTATCAGGAAATACACTTTATTTGTTCTGACAACTGTAATTCAATTTTAATTATTGATAGTACTTGATATTATGTGGGTAAACATACTGTGAAAGTAATGAAGTCTTAGTAATATGAGACCTCCCCGTAGCACTCTGCTGTAATGGGGAATGGCAAAGTAAAAGATGATACTAAGTTCATACCATAGATATGTGCTAAGGCCCTGATCCTGCAAACTCTAACACATGTGCTCCATGGGACAATTTGTATGCCTAAAGTTAAATATGTTTGTAATGATTTTCATCATCAGGGCCTAAATGATCCTGCTAACTATGTGTGTTTAGCACAATAATCTGTTTTAACGAACCATTTGTTTTTCTTTCCATTCTGTGAAATATTTCTGATATGTTTCAATTTGCTGCCACTGTCATAGAATATGACATCACTAATACCTAGGCTGCCAATCCATAGTATTGGTAATATTACAGATCGATGCATTCTGAGATCCCACCAACAAACACAAAGAGAAATTAGCAGATGGGGTAAACAAATTTAAAAAAATAAACTACAAACACATGCCTGACACCCCTTGACAGCCCCATGAATGGAGACAATTTAGCATATTTTTCTAGTTGTAACTCAGTGTTACATGGAACTCTTCTTCAGAGATTGGCATACATTCAAAAGCTTGTCTCTTTCGCCCATGGAAGTTGGACCAATAAAAGATATTATCTCACCCACGTTGATTCTCTAATATCCTAATGTCCTGGGATGCCACTAGCCATCATCTTCAGCCCCCAACTAAAACCTCTCCAGCTCATCATCAAGGATCTACAATCTATCCTGAAGGACGATCCCTCACTCTCACAGATCTTGGGAGACAGGCCAGTCCATGCTTACAGACAGCCCCCCAACCTGAAGAAAATACTCACCAGCAACCACACACCACACAACAAAAACACTAACCCAGGAACCTACCCTTGCAACAACCGATGCCAACTCTGTCCACATATCTATTCAGGGGACACCATCATAGGACCTAATCACATCAGCCACACTGTCAGTGACTCGTTCACCTGCACATCTACCAATGTGATATATGCCATTATGTGCCAGCAATGCCCCTCTGCCATGTACATTGGTCAAACCAAACAGTCTCTAGATAAAAGAATAAATGGACACAAATCAGACGTAAAGAATTATAACATTCAAAAACCAGTCGGAGAACACTTTAATCTCCCTGGTCACTCAATTACAGACCTAAAAGTGGCAATTCTTCAACAAAAAAACTTCAAAAACAGACTCCAACAAGAAACTGCTGAATTGGAATTAAATTGCAAACCGGACACCATTAAATTAGGCTTCAATAAAGACTGGGAGTGGATGGGTCATTACACAAAGTAAAACTATTTCCCCATGCTTATTTTTCCCCCTACTGTTACTCACACCTTCTTGTCAACTGTTGGAAATGGGCCATCCTGATTATCACTACAAAAGATTTTTTTCTCCTGCTGATAATAGCTCACCTTACCTGATTATAGCGGGTATGGCAACACCCATTTTTTCATGTTCTCTGTGTCTGTGTGTATATATATATATATACATATCTTCCTACTGTATTTTCCACTGCATGCATCCGATGAAGTGGGTTTTAGCCCACAAAAGCTTCTGCTCAAATAAATTCGTTAGTCTCTAAGGTGCCACAAGTACTGCTCATTCTTTTTGCTGATACAGACTAACACGACTACCACTCTGGAAACTGCAAACAACGTTATTATGAATTTTAACCATTGCTCCTCCCATTATATTTCATATACTCCTGGAATTCATGCCATTGAAAACTTACCTCTGCCTATTCTTTTTTTTCTTTTGTTAAACCAGTACTCTGTCTTGTTTTATTTTTATTTAAATTTTGTTTTTATTATATAATTGGTGGCACAGCAGGTGATATAAATAATTTTGTAAATTGCTCGGGCTATCTATGGCGTAGCCTGTGGTTGCGTTATCAGATCATGAAAATTGGTACCTCTAATAGTGAGAGTTCAGAGGGAAGTGAAACACAAACCCACCTGCCAACTGTTTTTGTTTTTTTCTCTTCCACAGCACGAATTATCAAAACAAAACAGTGGTGTGAAATGCTTCCATGTTTAGAAGGAGAAGGCTGTGATTTGCTAATCAATAAGTCAGGCTGGACCTGTACACAACCGGGTGGGCGAATAAAGACAACCACGGTAAGCTAATTCCCTTTTGTTCCTCCTCATCTCTAACTTCCAAAGAGCAAAGGGTAAGACTTCAAATTTAAATGCAGCATAGGTTTTTAAAATTAGATGCCAGTTAGTAGCCCATGCTCACAAAGACCCATACTGAGACACACATATGTACTTTCACACCTGTGATCACAGACAAGGAAAGTGTGGCAGATTAGTAAAAGGATGTAAAATGTCAGACTTTGACTTAAAAGGTCCATAAATTCAGCCAGTAAAGTAAAGCCAGTCTTCACCTTTATTTCACCCTGGTGTGTATTCTGAACTGTGGGTAGAGCAAGGATATAAAACTTCATACTACTGATCTAATGGGGGGAAATTAGTTTGTATTTTTTTTAATAAAAGTAGTTTTGGCTTTTTCACTATAATAAAAAGGCAGTTTTCAAAGACAAATCTCCATCTTCCCAGAGGAAAATTTATGAGGCCTAAAGAAGAAACAAAACAATAAAACCCTTTTTGTGGGTAATCAGAACTTTGGCTCTAACTTGTCCATACTGTATTTTTCAACTCCTTGGTGCCGTCTCCTGTAGTGTTTTGGATTTGTTTGAAGATTCTATATTGAGGTTGAATATGCCTACAACAGTGATGGCTCCTGGGACTTGTAGCATCAAGTATCAGTCTGTGGGACATTCTTCAAACCAACTGAAGATTTTTGTGCTTCAAAAATTTAAAACGTCCCAAGAGATGTGGTAGAGTAATACCCTGATAGGTTGCTATGCCAGCAGGGATATTTTTTTCTATAGGTTTACAGGACTCTCAAGCTACATTTAAATAACTGACATTTCAAGAATGTTTCATCATAAAGATTTACTTCAAAACCTGCCTTATACGTTAACCCCAGTGAGCTTCAAATTAGTGATGTTTAGCAGGGTTTGGGCACAGGCCTATCAAGCAGGATCCTCTGCATAGATTCTCTCTCTGGAGAGAGGTGAGGAGACACTATTGCATATTTTTTAGTATTTTTACAGTGTTAGTATTTTGACACCAAATCAGAATGACCTTCACTTTTTAATTTTTTTTTTTACCAATCTTTGAGAATAACATTTATTGTCAACTGACATTTACAAGCACAACCTATGAATTTGGTATTGTTCTAATGTAAGATCCCATGCTGTCCTGACATCGCCATAGTTGCTAGACATAGCAAGGTACATTATGGACAGTGTTGCAAATTTACCTCTCAGTCTCCAAATCAGAGCTTTAATCTTCATTTCCTCAGGTCATATGAGTGTAATTTATGTAATGGTGATATAAAAATATAATAGAGGGAAACAATATCATCAGCTCCCAAGGGCAGGCAGACCTGGCAGGGTATGTTTGGAACGCTCACAATATTATTCAAAATCTCATTAGTTCAGTGATATTTTCTGTACCTCAGGTAAAGCAAATTACCTGTTTACCCTGAGATATTTGCATCTATCATTATTATTGTTTGTTTTATCAGGATGCACCAGTAATAAGCTTGGTGCTATGAAAGATAAAAAGTAAGCACAGTGCCTACCCTGAGGAATTCATGTTAGATATCTATCAGATTGGTTCAGTGGATCTTTTAGATTTGACACCGTGGCCTGACTCTGATCTCACAACCGCTTTACAACTGTTTAACTCTACTGACCTAAACAGAACTACTCTTGTTTTCAACCACCATAAATGAGATCAGAATCAGGCCACATCCCGGGGAAATTATGGCAATGCTGAGCAAAGTCTTAGTAAGAAGATTCTCTTCTGCAACAAGATACACTCAACAGAGGAGAGAAAAGGATTTCTGTCCAACCCTGTTACAGCCCAGGCCTTTACCTAATTTAGAACAGTCTACAACAGCTGGCTCAGATCCCTAAGAGACCATACAACAATGGAGAATTGTCGGAGGGGAGTGTAATTTCACTCTAGCCCTTCTGCACACCTCTCACTACATCTCCTGCCAGCACCTTTGTGACCTCTAAGCTGAAGTGTAATGGGCAGGTGGGTGGGTGTGCACACATACATTAACAGTTCAGGATGTTCCAAGGAACACTGGGTCCAGCTATAAATGACCAACAGAAAAAAATAGTACTAAAAAAAAATGTCTAATTGCTCGTAGGGCACTTGATTTGGTGTGCAGGGGAGGGGTCAGAAAATAGCAAAAGAGTTGGGAACTTGGTTCGTATGGGGTTCATAATGACTAATATAAACCCCTAAGAAAAGAGGATTTATAATGGAAGCATGAACACTCTTCTTTGTCGCAATATTGCTTGAAGGTGTAAAGTAAGTAATATTTCTGTTTTACTTGCTAGACCCATACTGCTCCTTGTTGAAAAATATAAGTACAGCAAAGTGCAGCCCGAGATGGGGTGATCAGGAACATTGTGGAATTAGCCTCGAAATACACAGTGAATGTACAGCCCATTGTGGAAATAAGTGAATATTCTGCCATATATTCTAATGGGAACAGGATTGGGGCCTAAACTAGTTAACTTATAATAATTTATGCAGGCGTTTGCAAGTAATATTAAGTTGTATCTGAAAGTGAAAGAGGTACTAGTACTGTACCTTTCACTACTAGAGCAGGGATACGTTTCTGTAACACGGCATATCATATTCCTGATATCATATCAGTAATTATGTGCTGCACCATATGTACTAAAACTGGAAAGTAGGAATAGTATTGAACACTGGAGAACTTAGATTAGCACTTACGTTTGTAGTGACTCTTACACTGATGCCTGTTGTTAGTGTTTGTGTATATGGCATTATAGGCACTTGTGTAAATAATATGATGTCAGGGCTTGGGCATAGAAGAAGTGTGTGAAACGTGAAGCTAAGTGGAGGTAGGTGATAAGTTTCCTCCCACTTTTTTCCCATGAAAATGAGGCAGAAATAGAACTCTTGCCTGGATGAGTTTTACTGATGTGAACAGCATCACATTATGTAACAATACTTATTATTTTATGTGCCAAATATCCAGGAAACTGCAAGCTTATCTAGTAAATACACTTTGCACCCACATGTTTCAGTGAATTGTGTTTCCAGGAAGAGCTTTGGCTGGTGTCAAAATAGTGGTTTGTGTCAAAATGGTTTAAGGTAGATAGTCAAGGCCTGATTTTTTCATTGCCTGCACGCACTTTGTGTAAGCATTTATGCCTGTGCAAAGTAATGCAACCAAATCATAATTTTCTACTCACACTGGTGGCAGCCTTTTATTCCCCTTTTTGCACTCACTTTGCACAGCTGTAAATGACTACACAAGGTGCCAGGGAAGGGAGAATCAGACCCAACATATATTCTAAATGGATCTGGATGTCACTTATGCCCTGTCATCATTTCTACAAGGTGTGAATGAACCAAGGATTTTTCATCTGGTAAGAGGCTTTTAGCGTTGAAGATTGACTGGGCCAACTGCCAATCTATGTACTAAGCATTGTCAATACAAGGAAACAATATGGCAGCTTGCTAGAGGAGATGCTGTAGGAACAGAATACTTTGTAGTTAGTTGTTAACACTTTTAACAAAGTGATTCATGCTAAGTAGTTTTATTTTAAAAATGCCTCTATTTAAAAATGCCTCTGTGGTTATCTTCAAATCACCTACCATGCAAAATGTTGTGCTTTTAATATTTTTATTAATCTCCCAAATCTGATATTTACAAGGAATTTACCTGACTCTCTCATGTGAGAAAGACTGTATAATCTCATCAATGCCAGAAGATATGTCATGATTTCACAAGATACTGCTTAGAACCATGACCCTTTTATATTTCAAGCTTGAAACTTGCCAGTGTATAAATGAGGAGATACACAATTCTATTGGCTTTACAGGGGAGATTAATTTTAGCACCAAAGTGTATATATGTTGTCAATGATCCATCACTACTTAATTGTTACTTAATTAATTCCTTCTTTTACATGATGTGATTTCAATGCATGGAGCTTAACAGAACATTCATGCGCCAGTAGCTAACCTTTTAAAACCTCTGTGATTTTACTGCTAAATTAGCTGAAGTGGGAAATTAAGGAGTCTGAAGAAGCTAAAAGAGAGCTCGCAGTGGATAAAAGGTGTAATTACTTTGACATGGAGCTCACTGCTTAGCTAGTAAAATTTACTAAGGATCTAGCTTCGCCAAGGGACGTGACTTTCTTAATAGAGTTTTCTTACGCACAGAGCAACTTAGCATTACTCACCGTTAATATAAATGACATGCTGGCTGGCTTGGAAAGGTAATTTGTTCCTTACCCTGAGAAATACTAAAGTTGTTTGTATTGACTGGAATTTAAATGAAAATTTTTCTACAAATCTTTATCATACACAAATGTATGATTAAGGTAAATTGGACAAAATGTACTGGCTTGTTTTCATCAACGATTTACCAGCAATGTGGTGTTACTCATACCATTACATTCTATCTTCAAAGTAAAAATATAAATACATATTGCATATTGGATTTGAGAATTTACTTTTTTTTAGACTGAAGACCAGCTGGAAATTTCCTGAGGCCATGGTCTAGTGGTCTGAGCATGGGACTGGGAGCCAGAAACTCCTGAGCTCTAATCCCGGCTCTGACAGTCACTGCCTCTGTGGCCTTGGGTAAGTCACTGAACCTCTCTGCCTCAATTTCCCTAGCTATGCAGTAGGAGTAATAATACTTACCTACCTACATCACAAAGGTGGGTTGTGAGGTTTTATTAGATAATGCCTGTAATTGATTAGGAAATTCAGGGTGCTATACAAGTATTATTAATATAGGCTCTGGAATTATACTAATTTCTCTAGCATTCATATAGCAAGGATAGATCAGGTTCCAGTTCTGAGTATTGCTAAACACACCTTTCACATTTCCACAAGGCAGCTGATATATATTTTTGTCACCCTCCCAGCTCCATCTCTGCATGTGTTTCACATGTGATTCTAGGATGTAAGGCAAGGCCCCATGAAGGTAATTACTGGCTGTACTCCACAGTTTGGGAGTTCCCTGCAATGCTGTCTGAACACAC